CCTATGATGAAAATTACAGGCCTCTCTCATCTTTTTAAGTGGGAGAACTTGCACAATTGGTGGCTGACTAAATACTTTTTTGCCCCACTGTATATACAAATCCTAAGACTTCTCTCATAATGTTTATAATTTCATGTAATAATTCCTAAGTTTATATCATAGATGGAATTCCCTTTGGTTCCAGATTTCCATCATGTACTGTATCACTAACCTTGTTTTTGTGGAGTTTATTACAAGTGAAGCAGTAATGCTCCATAGAGAGAGGGTTTCTGAATAAATTATTTCTAAAGTAGCTGAGACAGGCAATTGATTTCCTGTTTTTCACAGATAATTGCCTATTTTTAAGAAAACTTTTTAAATAATTTAGAACAAGTTGCTGGCTTCTGGTCATAGATCTGATGTAGCATCTAAAGATAAAACTTTAATACTTTCAGGAATGACTTTGAACTTCGTTCATTCTCTTATATATCAGGTCTCTCCTTCACTAGAGTGATTACTCAAGAGCAAATATAAGATACATGAACATTTGCATTTTTCTTCTTGAAACAAATCATTATGTGTTTATGTAAAATATTTGCCTGTCCTTAAGTATTCTCTTGCATACATTTTGTTCTTAGTCATCTTGCTCATCTCAGGAGAAGCTACACCAGCTGCCCTATCAACCAACAGCTGATGAACTTCACTTTCTGACAAAGCACTTCAGCACAGAGAGCATCACTGATGAGGAAGGAAGGCATTCTCCAGCAATGCGGCCTCGATCTCGTAGCCTGAGGTGATCCTTAAACCCTTCATCTTTTTGCTTAGTTTTCCACAAAGAACAATTGCAAGAAAAATTACTTTTGTTTCACCCATTGATTGCTGCAGTACGATAACAATTAAAGCAACACATTGCCTACTTCTGTGGGAAAGACCATAACTCAAATGATAGAGTTCATACTTTGTATATGATTTCAAATTCAATCCTTGGCATTCCCAACTACAGCTGGAAAAACTCTTGCCTAAAATTGTGAAGAACAGCTGCTAGACTCAGTAGGCTAGATGGACCACAGCTCTTGCATCTATATCCTACCATGTTAGGCTCTTGGAACCTCCCGAAAGGCATTATTCATTACATTCATTTTTTTTTTTTTGCTAGTATAAATTTGATAAAGTTGTATGATGATAACATTTGAAATAAATGCAAGGATTGCCTCTCATCTACACTACTTTGGACTGTCCTGGCCATTGGGGAAGGGGTAACAATTAGAAATATTTATTTATTTTACCAAATTTATTATGGCCACTCCAGTAGACTCAGCAGCTTACAGAATCAAATAAACAATTTGATTACAGAAACAAACAAAAGACATGAAGCAAACATGGCAGCTTGGAGTAAAACCAACCATACCAATAAAAACATAATACAAAGTACAATAGGGACTACACAAACATACTACCCCTGACCTGGGAAATATTAAAAGTTGTCCAGCAGAAACATCTTTATATTAGATTCTAAATCACTTTTTTTCTCCATAAATAAGGGAGAACAACCAATAGTGTTTAAATATTGCTGAATTATTGCTGAATTGGCCATATTGACTAGAATGTCTAGGAGTTAAAATCAGCAACAACTGACTTTACGCATAAACTGCTTTTGTCAAAATTGTATTAACTTGTTATCTACTTGTGAGAGCCAGTGTCTTAGGAGCAGGAAGACCCAGGTTATAGTCCTTTAGGCATGTAAGCTGGCCAGGTGACTTTGATTACATTTTCTCTGACCCTTTGGCTAGGAAGTCAAAAAACATCTACTAACCCACATTGGACCAGCATAACCTTCAATGAAGAGGCTTTGATCCTGTAATGGATTGAACAATAACAACAATAGTTTACTAGTGAATAAAAATGCATAACCACTGTATTAAAAATTAAAAAATAAAATGAAGATTGAAGGAAAAGCATCTCTCTAATTTGTTGTAGTAAATAACGAAACATAACTTCTATATGAATTATATCATTTTATCTTTAAGGCTACTTAATTATAGAATGAATCATGCATTACCTACCATTTTTTTATAATGATGAAATGAGAAGAAATCTTATTGTTCATATACTTAACATCTCTTAGTGTTTAAAATGTATCTCATCTAATAGTAATATTTTTAAATGTTTTCTTAAGGGATAAATAAATATTTATTGCTGGGACAATCTGACATGCTGGTCTTTGAGCCAGATGTTGTGGCTTTTAATCTCATGTCCATTGGTTTCCTAGCTTATTTGGCTAATCTGTATATATTCTTCTGCAAATGCTAATGTAAAAGCCACTGGAAAATTTAAGCACATTGAGCAAAATGCTTCAATTGAAATTTCCTTCCCTCCTCTTCCAATATTGGGCAGCACTGAAAATGTGTGCCCCACAAACTTTTGTATAAAATATAATAACTATTGAATGTATTTTTATTGTTATTTGTTACCTGCCCAGTCATAAAGGCAATATACAATTGAAATCTGTTGAAAGTAGATGTGTGAACAGTTTACAATGTGTCAGATGACTAGTCATCTATATACATTCATGGCTCCTTTTATTTTCATTGCAGATTGCAATATGTATATGTGTATCATATGTATGTTTGACTAAATGTTTTTGTTTTCTAGGATGTACATCATTTTTTCTTATTGGTTGTTATTTTCAGACTTTTTTATTGTTGTAAGGTGTCAAGAATCATGGAATTAGGGGGCTTTATAAATCTGATAAATAATTGAACAAACAGATTTTCTGTATTGTCCACTGCAAATGCAAGCAGTAATTTATTCTTCTGGAGTGTTATTCATATAAATCCCTTACTACATGCAGTGTATCAGTAGTGATTATATATACTGAAGTAGGGCTGTGCAGTGCTTTAGATTTGATTTGGGTGTTTTGGAATGCCTGGTGCATGGGCACAGCACTTGTCTGTGTCTGTCCCATTAAAACAGTTGTGTTTTAAAACAACTGTGCTTCAGGATAGGTGTCTGCATTGGAAGCTTCCCTGCAGCAGCCATATGTTCCAAAAAAAGATGTGGGTGCTTTAATGAGTCTGAGAAGAGTGCTGCAATTGCACTCCTGTATATTTCAAAGCATGTCTTCTGAATTAAAGCCAAAGTATTGCACAGCAGCGTATACAGTTAACTGGCTTGTGAAATATATAGTTATATTAAAGTGGATGATATGTTCAAATAGTCATATTGCCTGCTATTTCAATTAGGTTAAAAATGCTTTAACTCCCTCCCCTTTTTTTTAGCCCTGGTCGTTCTCCAGTATCCTTTGATAGTGAAATAGTGATGATGAACCATGTATACAAAGAAAGATTTCCAAAGGTAAGAAGGTACTCTGAGCAGTCTGGTTTTTTTTAGATCCATTGAGTAGGGATGATAAAAAATATATATGAGATCGCAAATGTATGATATAAAGAACCTATACTTTATACAGAGTTAAAGCACTGCTAAAGCAATAACAATAAAATGAAAATCCACATTGAAGTTATTTAAGCAAACTGAAAGTTTACAAAATAGTTATAAATATTTGAGTTAACAAAGCCTCTTCATCAAAGAAGGTGGACTGGAGCTGGCTAGTGTTTAAGCTGTGTGTGCAATAGATTACCAGTTAAGTTAAAAATCATAATGTGTGCCAAAATACAAATTGGATTTTATCTGGTACAGAAGTGGTATTAGGTGGTTCAAAGGTCTCTCCCAAAGTCTGTTGGAAAGTTTATAATTCTTGATTGCACATTTTTTAAACTGTAAACTTAATCTTTGAAGTCAAACTTTTCCATCCTTAGCAAGATGGGATGCTAAAACAAATGACAGATCAACTGTGCACCCTGTAAAAAATAAAAACCACATGTACTCCATTATAGCTCTCCCACATTAGATGGCGCTTAGACTTTTCTGAAATGATACGTTTTTTAATCTGTAAGTTATAATTATAGAATATAATATCAGTAAATTTAATGTGAATGTTTACAATTTGATAATAGAGAACAAAGTTCATTTTCTATAGACAAAATCCCTAAATAGTCTAATAAGGCCCATTAATTAGGTCTGTTTTATTTATTAAGCTCATCTGTTGATCCATTATAACAAAATGTCACTAACTAAGTGTTTGACACATCTTAGGCCACAGCCCAGATGGAGGAACGGCTGGCTGAATTTATTGCATCCAGTGCACCCGAAAATGTGTTGCAGCTAGCAGATGGGGTCCTAAGCTTTATTCATCATCAAGTTATTGAGTTGGCCAGAGACTGCCTGGATAAATCACGTGAAGGACTTATTACTTCTCGGTACTTTTATGAGTTGCAGGAAAACCTTGAAAAATTGCTTCAGGATGTAAGTATGTCAACAAATGATTTAACCCTTAGTCATTAGATAAAAGATCCAGATCATCATACAGCTTGGTAGCCTCCCTCAACATAGTACCTTTCAGAAATGTTGGATTTAAGATAGCAGCTTGTTAATTTAGAATTATGGGAATTGAAATCCAAATACTCTTGGGACTATCAAATTGGGGAAGGTTTTACTGCGATAACAATCAGAATCCACAGGAAAGGAAGAGATAAGAAGACATTCCATGTAATGTGGAATAATTAACATATTAGCCTCCATATAATTCAGATCACAGGGTGCTGAGAGTAGGGTTGAGCAAGATGAACTAGATAAATGATTCTGGTTAACTCAATAAAAGCAACCCAGGTTACTTCTTGCTTATTGGGTAAGTCATGATTCACTTTTTTTAGGAAATTAAGCATCTCTCAATGTTTAAATATTTAAAATGCCTCAAATAAGTATAAAAGTGATATTTTACTGTTGTTTTTGAGAATATATTTTTATTAAAGTATCTATCTACAGAAATAAAATGAAAGACAATGAATTTTATTGTGTTATTTTCTTGTACTATAGCAAATTTAAGCTATTATTTTTACAGTATTTTGTGAAATACTGAAAGTATTCTGATGAACTAAAAGAGCCTGTAACTTGCCAGCCAATAGTAACCGACAACTAAAAGACTGCCTTTTGCCTGTAGTCTTAAAATGCTATAAAAACAGAAAAAACAAGCAACTTTTCAGTTTAAGATTTATTTGGACCTAATCCATGAAGTTTAAGCATATGTATTAAAAGTATACTAAATCTGGTCAAATTGATATAGCAGTTGTCATATTATCCCTTCCTATCTTTCCAGTTGGGGCTGGGCAGTGGGAGCTACTACTCACTAATTGTTGTTTTTTTAAAAATCAGCTTCAGTTTGCTACTTCTGTTAAAAAGTACTGTGAAGATTAGGTAATTGGAGTAATGTATTAGAAGGAAGATGCTGGTATATTGAAACAAATAAGACAAAGGAGATTCCTTTAGGAAAATATTGAAGAAAAACCCGTCCCTTCACTTGCCACTTCTGTTCTCAAATACTGTCTTTCAACTTTATTTTGTGAATTCTCTTCTTCATAACCACATTTCTGCTATAAAGTATTATCCCAGATTTATCATCATGAAGTCTTTCGCTCCCTAATCCATCTTTGCATATTCTAGGTTGAAATATGAGAGAATGGGCACATTCAGGCCATACCAATTCAAATTTAATAGTTTATGGGAAGATAGACATTGCCGAAAAAACAACTTTAAAGATGCATATGTTTGTTATTGTATTAAGCTTTTGTGAATCACAGTCCAACGTTATATGTATCTGATAGACTATAATCCACAAAAGGTTTTGTGATAATAAATTATTCTTTAAACTGCTACAAGATTCTTCATTGTTTTTTAAATCTCATGGTTTCAGTGGAAGATCTAATGCTGAAATTTCTCATTGAAATTAATCCAATATCAAGTCATCCATCTTTAATTGTGGTTGGCCTTCATGTACTTTCTGAAGGCTCCAAAATACAGTTTGTTGATGTAAGGGCTGAAACTGATGAAGCTGGAACCAGCAGTTCTCAGCCTACAGAATACTATTATGAAATTGCCTTCTAAGGTCATCAAGAGACAAGCCAAGTGTCTGTTGGATCAGAAAGGCAAGAGACAAAAGCTGAGGGGTTAAAGTGTGGCATAAATATATCAGGCTCTATATTCCATCCTTTGCAGTACAGAATCAACTGTTAAATTAAAGGCTTCTTTCTTCTCTGCAGTAAAATTTCTAATCTAGCCAAGTTGTTTCTGAGAGTCTTCTGCAAAGACTAATCATGTTCTAAGTAAGCAGCGAAGTTTTTTGAGAGCTGTGACTTACTCATGAGCCCTGCATGAAGCCTGTTACTTGATTGCCCATTACTACTACTGTTGCTGGAATGAATCCCGACAGCTGGATCCTAAAAAGCACATTTATTTAAGTTAATTTATTTAAAATTTGTATGCTAAGCTCACAAAAGAGTACATACAAGGATTAAAAACAATGATTTAACAAATCAACCATAATGCCAAGGTTATAAACACAAAATCCCAACATTAACCAGCAGAGCTTGCCTAACCATATGACCCAAAAGCCCGGGGGAACAGTCAGATCTTTAATGCCTCACAAAAGGCTAACAGGATCAGGGCCATCTGAATCTCTGGAGGGATGCTGTTCCATAGGGTAGGTGCTGGCACAGAAAACACACAATTCCAGGGTCCAACAAGATGACATTGTTTAATGGAAGGGACTTGGAACATGGTCTCCATATTAGATCTGGTGGGGTGAGCAGGAACAGTGGGAGACAGACAGTCTTGCAAATTGCCTGGCTCTGTGTTTTGTAGGGTTTTATAGGAGACAACCAGCAATTTGAATTGCACCTGGAAACCTGCTGGAAGCCAATGCAGCAAGTGGAACAGTGTTGTTATGTGGATGTAATGAGAAACACCTAAAACTGCCTCTACTGCTGCATTTTGAACCACCTGCAGGTTCCAAATGCTCTTCATGGGCAGCCCTGTGTAGAGCGCATTATATTAATTCTGGCATGAGTCACTGAGATCAAAGCTACCCGGTCCAGAAGTGGGTGCAATTGGTGCACAAGATGAACCTGTGCAAAAGGCCTCCTAGCCATGGCTTCTACCTACTCTTTGAGCAGGAGTTGTGAATCTAGGAAGACCCCCAAATTGCACACCAACTCTGACTGAGGAAGTGTGCCTTCCCCTGCAGAGTTAAACATGGAAAATCTTGATCTTGCCAAAATTGAGCCAAAGCCTGTTCTCCCCCATCCAAACCCCCAGATTCTCCAGGCACTGGGAAAGAACCTTGATGGCATCACCTCATTTGGCCAGGGCCAAGATGTACAACGGGTGTACAGTGATACCATAACTTCTCTGCTGATGGATGACCTCACCCAGTAGCTTTGTGTAGATATTGAATAGGAATGGTGAGAGAGTAGAACCCTGAGGCACCTCATAAAGCAGGCACCTCAGGCTTGATCTCTTCTCCCCCTACCAACACTGATTGGAACTGGCCCCAGAGAAAGGAGGAGAATCAACATAACACTGTCCCTCTCAGTTCCCTAAGTTGGTCTAGAAGGATACCATGTTTGATGGTATTGAAAGCTGATGAGAGATCAAGGTGGATGGGGATGGATACACTGCCCTATCCTGAGCTAGCCAAAGGTTATCAACCAATGTGATCAATGCTACCTCAACACTATAACCAGACATGAACCTTAACTGAAAGGGGTCCAGAGAATCTGCTTCTTCTAGGATCCGCTGGAGCTATAGAGTAACAAGTTTCCCTAAAAAGGGAAGATTGAAGACTGGAAGAAAATTATCCAGATCTTTTAGTCCAGTGATGGCCTCTTTAGAAAGAGCTTCCAAGCATTTACCATTGGATATGCCCAGTCACCTGTCACCTAAGACACAGATGGCTGAACTCAGCTCCAAGAACCTTTTCCACTTCATCAGGGTTGAGAGGTTCAAACTCTTCCCAGATAACCAGGCAAGACCATGCACAGACAACTCCATGGGATCTGTACAGCCAGATTCTAACTCCAATTATGCTGCTGAAATGAGATTTCTCTGCTTGTTACCACTGGAATCTCCTCGTGAGAGTAGAAATTTTTTTAAAATGGCATGATATGTATTGTAGAGGGGCTTCAGCAAAACAAAGCAATTTCTAAACATTATGGATTTCCCCTGTTTTCATATAAGTAAAAATATTTGTACTCACAAGTGTACAATATAATTTTACTTTATATATTTTACATATATTTGGTTTATGGACTGTACATTGGTTTGTCAATGCAATTTTTAAAGACAAATATGGATATTCCTGTATAGCACAAAAGCATCAGACAGGAGCATTAATATATCCCTGTTATAGTAGCTAATATTCCCATTACAGATATAACATTTCCAAACCTTTTGGGAGGATGGGTGAGGCTTTTTTCTACTTTTTTCCCAAGAAAAAGCAAGCATTTTGGAAAAACTGAAATATATTCAGTATTTATTTTTATTACACCCTTTACTGATCTAAGTTCACTTTGCTGTTTCAATGCAAGTTATGCATTGCAAGAAGTGTGCAATATATATAACTTGGTTTACTCATACAATTATAATGTTGGATATATATTTCTGAAGTAAGAAAATAAATAAGGAATATTCATTTAATTTATTTTTAAAAGTTTTTAAATGATTTAAGTATTTTATACTTTTTCTGTTCTTTGAGACCCAGTCAAGACCCTAGATTAAAAAAAAAACCCAGTAGACATAGTCAAAAGCAAATGAAGCCCTGTATTGTTTGTCTCATGAAACTAGCAGGACCCTGGGAAGGACTGCATCTTAGTGTTACATCTGAGAGCTGTACTGCACTATTTGTTCTTTGTGTACAGGAACTGTAGTGCAATAATACTCTAAATAAAAGTATTTACGTTGGTAGAAAGCATGTCTGAGCATTCTGTCTTATTGCATTCATTTTTAAAGGAAATATTTGATTGGAGGTTTTTTTTTAAAACTCTTTCCAAAACGTTTCCTTTAAAAAAAAGTCTTGGGGAGAAAATATCCCCAATTTCATTGGCTTTTTTCCCCTTAGCCTTAACATGCCTAGTTCCCACTTAAGTAGAAATCCTGATTAGAACTGGGATTCTTAGAAGGGTTTTAACATGGAAATATCAATTCTTGTCTCTAGAACCTGGCCGCATTAGACTGTATCAGTGTAGTAGCTCAATGAAAAAGTTGTGAGTGGAATATCACTGTTGTTGGTACCTAGAGAGAAGAGTGATTGTAATTTTATGCCCCAGTGACTACTGTTAGTGACAGATGAGTCTTTCAGATAAGGGAATAACTTTATAATTTACCCATTTCTGCCTCCAGAACATAAGTCATTGAAATTGGCAGCAGCTAGAGCCAATCATTCTTATTTCGCCCCTTCTCTCAAGATGAGGTTG